GGAAGGACTCATGGTTCACCGATCCCGGGACAGAGGCAGCCTCTGGGTCATTGGCAAGGGAGGGCAGAGTGGCCTTGTCAAGTCAGGGGCAGTGGGTAAGCCAGATCCAACAGGGGCTGCCTGAAGCTCCCAGACCTCTAATCACAGGAGGGTGGGTGTGGACAGATGGGAGAGAAACCTCTGCCACACTGGGTCCACCAGAAAGGCTTTGTAATATCTAAACCAAAGCCCTCTCTCTGTTGTCCTCCCCACGGACCTAGGCGACTTCTAACAGCCCTATGAGAACGGAAGCATTTTCTGACTTTCTTCCATACCTTGTTAGATGCCCGAGTTTCATAATTAAGATGGAAGGGGCATGATCTGGTTGTAGTGATGGGACAGGACGGGTTCTGATTATTGCATGACATGAGGCCCCCAGCCCTCCATTCCTTCATTCTTTCCACAACAGGAATGAGGCACATATCAAGCACCAGATATTGTGTTAGAAGTTGAGGATATAGCTTCAAGGAAGCTAGTCTTTGCTTGGGGAAGCTGACAGTCTGTGGGGGATTTGGAGGAATTAACGAAATTACGTGAACAATGATTCCATTACAGGGTGATGGTGGTAGGAAGGACGCATACAGGAGGCAGTGAGATGGATAGTAGGGACCGAGACTGTTCTGGGGCATCAGTAAGGTCAGTAAGGCTGCTCTGAGGAAATCAGTCCATTGTTGTGGAGAGGTGAAGGGGCAAGCATTTGAAGATCCGATAGGAGGGGGTTGATGGCTGGGGGGTGGGTGGGTGGTAAAAGAATGGGGTGGGGGATGGGCAGGCAGCTGTGTAAGAGTCCGGGCATGTGGGAAATGTCGGCTCATTGGGGGAGAAAAAGAATGCCCTAGTGGCTGAAGGAGATGGGGCAAACCAGAGACCAGGCTGTGGAGCCAGGTGGGCACCAGAGGATGCCTGGCTTCCTTTGATCAGTGGGCACGGGCCCTTGTGTGGAGAACCTAGTGGGAGGCAGGAGAGGGCTACAGAGACACTCGGGAGAACTGCCTCTGTGGAGGAGGGGAAGGGAGGAATGAGGGCAGGGCCCGTCTTATGGGGGCTGTAAGGATGGGTGCAGGGGAAGGGCCATATTCAAGGGCACAGACCAGGGCCCTAGCCAGAGCGGCCAGGAAGAGAAGCCGTGAACCTCAGGCTTCCATGTGCCGGAGTAGGTACACCACAGAATCCTCAGAAGTCCTGGCATGAGTGGGAGGAGACATCACACCCTGGAAGAGAAAGCATGTCCCTCCTAGTCCACAGGGCTGGGGGTGGAGTTCTCTTCCACCGTTTCGTAGCTGACTGATTTGGGGCACGTCTCGTGGTCTCTGACTCTGTCTCAGCAGTGTGCAGAATCATCCGGGGCACTTGTGAAGTTCGATGGGAAAAGCTCAGGGTAGACAGACAGGGAGAGGCTCCTCCCTGAGCTCTGGATGTGCCCACCTCACCTCCTCAGGAACCCGTTCCGTACAGCAGCCCCTGCTCTCTCCTGCTTGGTTCACTGTGATCTCCTCTTGGCTTTCTCTTTTCAACATACAGACATCTTAAAAACAAACAAACAAAATGTGTATGTTATTCCTTTCTAGCTTCTTTCCAACCCTTTTACAAGCCAGCTTTTGAAAAAACTACCTCGCTATCCTGGTTTTACTTGATGTTCCTCATGCCCTGAATTATTCCCACCACCATCCTTGGGACAGAAACAGTCCTTGCCAAGGTGCTCAAATACAGTCTCCACTTCGCAGCCTGTGGGCTTTTGATGCTGCTAACTCCTTACCCTTTTCAATGCCGGGATGCTCTCTCGCTCTTCCTCCCCTCCCCTCCCACCCTCTCTTTTTGGGCCACCCTTCACCCTGCCCCCTTGACTCACCTCTCCTTGTCCCTTCACTGTTCTCCCGTGTTCTATTCTTATCCCTTGCCTCCTTTCCTTACATCCACTCTGTGTGACTCATTCTTGGAGTCACACTTACTACTCCCACCTCTTCATTCCAGCCTTGACCCATTGCCTGAACGTGAACACCCACCCAGGAGGTAGTGAAACCTATCAAACAGAGCTCTGGGCTGGGTGCTTTTACAGGCTCCTTGTGCTTCCCCCTCTCTCTGCATCAGTCGGCCTATCCCCGGGGTTGTCTGCTCAGGGCAAGTTCTCCTGAGCCAGACTTTGAGCTGTGTGGTGTGGGGACCATCTTTAATTTGTCTATACACCACCCCCAACCTGAATCAAGATGCCTAACACAGTAAGAAGGCAGTATTTTTTTTTTTTTTTTAATGGAGTGAGAATAAATGTGTGGAGCTACATGCTTTCAGAATTTGGGCTGAAGGCATGTGGAGCTGGTAGACTATGCTTAGATTAATCTTTTGGAAACTGGGAATTTCACTTATCTACCCAGCCACTTGATGTACACTTCGCTGGATTATCGATGGGTTTTTTTTTTTTTTTTAAAGATTTTATTTTTATTTTGAGAGAGAGAGAATGAGAGACAGAGAGCATGAGAGAGAGGAGGGTCAGAGGGAGAAGCAGACTCCCCGCTGAGCAGGGAGCCCGATGCGGAACTCGATCCCAGGACTCCAGGATCATGACCTGAGCCGAAAGCAGTCGCTTAACCAACTGACCCACCCAGGCGCCCCTCGATGGGGTTTATTAAGTGAACCTAGCCCGATAGCTCCCTCTGTCTTGCAAGGTGGGCTTGTGCCTGCAGTGTAAAAATCTGGTGATTTAGGCCATAGAAGCTTCCTTGAGTTTGGAAAGAGACCTGGCATGTTCTCAAAGGTGTGGAGAGTCTCGTTGGGGCTCCATGGTGAGGAGGGCTGGCACTGGGCCCCGAATTCCTAAGTGGTCCATGGTGGGACTCCCCAGGAAGGGCGCTGGGGACAGGTTAAGAAATGGGGAATATTTTGCTTGAGAGAGAATGTTGCTACTATGTTTAACTGATGGCTCCCAGCAGGGTCTTCAGAAGGAAGGGTCAGCTAGTTCCTGTCGTTCAGGGTGGGAATAAAGTTGGGAGTCAGGGGGTAAATCAAATCTCATATCAAAGGTTGCAGGGAGGCCGTTGTGGGGAGGAGCAGGGAGAATTCAGAGGAAGGTAGGGTGGGGGTTTCCAGTCCTTCTGCAGGGACTGGGCCCTGGCATCAAAGAGGTAAGTGTGGCAGGGCTTCTACCCTGTGGAGCTCACCGTCCAGGCTTGGTAATAAAGTTAAACTAAGGAATCTGATATTAATATGGCCTATAGTGAGGAGAACCAAGAAGAGGAAAAAACATGAAGGTCTAAAGTAGTGTAGGGCTGCTGGGGGGAGAAGAGAAGAAGTGTTAGATGAAATGCTCAGAGGCATTATGGGCAGGAGAACGAGGGATAGATGGTGCTACATTCCCGGAGATCTGAAACTAACTGCAGAAGAGGGTCAGAGATGGGAGTGGCTCAGGTTGCAGGAGAGCACGGGTGTGTTTGTGTGTGTGTGTTGGGGGGGTATGTGCTGTGTGTGATGTGTGTGGTGTATATGTGTGTGTGTGTGGCCGTGCGGTGTGTGTTTGAGTGGAAGGTATGTGTAAGCAGAGGAGGATGCTTTCTTCCTAATTCAGAAGTCATCTTGACAGATCATTACACAGCCAACAGGAACAGTTAGTTCTTGGCTATTTGCACAAATCTTTTCCAGGAGGGGATTAGCCCTCGAGATGCTGGAATCAGCACTGCCAACAGCAGCCTCTGCACCACCGCCCTGCCCCCTTGACTCCCTCCACTTTCTGGGCTTCCGGAATTACGGGGGCTGGTACTCCCAGGAGTGGTGGTGAGGGGTCAGAGGTCTGCATCGTAAGGACTTTTTTCCCATTAATTTAAAACAGGATGTTTTTCATGAATTTAAAACAGCTTTGTAATGACCCATGACCAAGCTGAGGCTGTTACCCAAATTGGAGAGGGAGGGGATGTGGGGAGGGAGCAGACAATAGGGATGATGCCCTGAAGACTGCAAGTCCTCTTTCCCTGGACGTGGTTAAAGAAAAGTACACCCCAGGCCTCTGGGGTATTTGAGCGGGAGATTGTTCCTAGATGCCTGGTTAAACATCCTGGTGATTGTTGGGGTGTTGATCTGACCCTCCTTCTGTCCTCTGGGTTCCTTCCCATTCTTCTCTACCTGGGTGCTGAGCCTGATCCTCAGCAGTAGGCTGGGGGATGTGGAATACAGAGGGAGAGGTGACCCTTCCTTTAGGAGGATGGGAATGATGTTCCCTGAATCTAAGACATGGATAGAAGGTGCCTTTCCCTGAATCTAAGACATGGATAGAAGGTCATCTCACACTGACCACTCTGAGTGACTTCCCCAGTCTTTCTGGTAAGCACCTGTGTCCACTGCAGTCACAACCTTTTTCCCTGAGCTGGCAGAAGCTGACCGGCCACCTTGGTCAAGTGCACCAGGTATGACTAGGAGGTAAACTGGCTGAATTTTACTGAAGCTTGCCAACAAAATGTTCTCAGAGTCAATGTCCCAGGCTTTGGATATCTCAAAGTAACACATCATGTACTTCTGAAAGGTGAGCTAATATTTGGAAATGATCAACTACCACTTGGAACCAAAGGCGAGAAAGAAGGTGGAGAGAGGTTTGAGCTGAAATTCCATTTGGTTGCCTCATCCCAAGGCTCCCTTGTTGTCTGGCTTCCAGACTAATTCGGAAAGTCGTTTCGAAAGAGGAGACCATTTTGGAGCAATGGAAGTCCGCTGGCATGAGTATGGCTTTCCAAAGTGATGAGTTTGAAGAATGTAGAGAAGTTCAAATAGATTCTCCCCTCTAGTACCATCCAGTTAGCACTTGGCCTTTGCCAAGTCTTTGGAGCACTTCGCACGCAGCCCCTCAGTCCCTTTATCCTCCCAGGATGGAGAGTCGAGGACTATCAGACCCCAGAGAGTTGCAGGGGAGGGACCAATCTGGGGAGACTTCGTGGACCCAGAGGCCCCAGGAAAGGAGCTGGAATGTGGGCCTTCAGGGCTGGGGACTGTAAGTCTTACTTAGTGTAAGGCTCGGATGCTGAATTGGGGAAAATGAATGAGTGGAAGTGATGTTGGGCACCAGCAGAACAAGGAAATACCAGAGGAGAGGCAGAGGGGGACAGCTGGTAGAAAGCTGAGGTAAATTGTGACGGTGGGGCTTAAAACAGGAGGAGAGGGAGGTCGTTGTGGTTGCCCGCTGCTCTGTGTCTTTGGATAATCGGAGGCGGTTCTGAAGTATGGCCAGAACGGGAGGTAGGTCTGCATCCTCCTCCACTTCCGGTCCTGGCAACGCACTTCCTCACCCTCCGAGGTGCTGGGGGTCGAGCCAGGCGGCGTGGAGAGCCGGTCTCTTCGTGGAGGTGACTTGGACAAATAGGATTTTTATGTTCTTGTTAATTCATGTGGGAGCCTGGGGCCTTGTGGGGCTGGAGGTTGAGGAAAGGAGCTGCCCGTGAGGTTTGCAGGAGGCAACTAGTCTTGTTCTCTGCTGAGATTCTAGGAACTCCAGAGGCCACTGGCCTGAAATGGCCCCAGTTGGCCACAAGTCCTGGCTCCCTCCAGTGCCCTGGCTCTCTCCTGGGTAGAATTCCAACCTCTTCCCCACTTCCTGTTCTGAGTTAATGACAAGGAAGGGGTCCGCCCGCCGGGCAAGTGGGATTATTTAACCTCCTTAAAGACTTAGAAACACTTGGCCCAGGAGGGTGTCAGGGAGAAGTCATTGCATCCACAGCCATCTGAACGGCAGAGAGAAGGGAGGCCGATGGGCCAGGCTGAGGGTTTAAAGGAGAGGACAAGAGAGGCATTCCTTCCCCTGCCTTATATTCTGAGTGTCAGATTTCTGCTGTATCACTCATTCCCTGTGTCATGCCTTGGCAGTCCACCTGTCTCAGTGTAGTCGCAGGGAGGATGGCTCTGGCTTTATGTCCTTTCTCTGATACTTGTTTTTAAGACCTAATCCATAGACTTGATCCCCCTTCCCACTGGGAGAAATCCAGCTTCCTTGTCAGTATCTGTGTGGATTCCCAGGAGCTTCTGCTCTTCTGAGCCTTTTCCCTCTGGCTTTCTTCCCGCTCAGCTGTCGCTATCATTAGGTGTCTTGATTCCTGGAGCTGTTCTCTATGACTTGAATACCCCCAAATATGGGACACAGCCCCTTTCTCTGAATTTTTCTGAGCAACACCAACATAAGTTTCTTGTCTTTGCTGAAAATTTGGGGTTTAATTCCAGCACAAGAATGCTTTAATAGTGAGTATGAATCATCTGTGTCCCAAATTTCATTGGCCCTGACTGCCACAGGGAACGTCACACCATCTCTCGCTCCCTAGACCTTCACACTCTCCAGGCCATTATCTTTCCCCTGCGCTCTTACTCATTCACCCATTTTTCATCTCCTCACTCCGTCAGTGTTTATGGACATCTACCATGTGCACTGGGCTAGTGACACATTAGTTTAAATAGCTGAGTTCTCTTTGTCTCCTACCACGCAGGGAACCGTACCTTTCTCCACGGAGAATGCAGAACCCACCCCAGGCATGTTGCTGTTTTTACACCACATACCTCAGCTGGAGAGAAAACTTCGTATCCTGAGATACATCACAACAAACCACAACTCCGTGAAGCACTATTCCTCTATTCTGACCCTTTATCCTGTGAGTTGTTAAGTGTGTTTCTACCAATGAAATAAGGAACAGACTGACCGTCACTTGGTTGCTTTCCTTTACTTTCTGTGTGTTTTATCCAGAGAGCCCAGTTCTTCCAAAGGAATTCCTTGTAAGCACTGCAAATAAAGATACTTTATTTATTTATTTATTTATTTAAAATATTTTATTTATTTATTTGAGAGAGAAAGAATGAGAGAGAACACATGAGAGGGGATAGGGTCAGAGGGCAAAGCAGACTCCCTGCCGAGCAGGGAGCCCGATGCGGGACTCGATCCAGGGACTCCAGAATCATGACCTGAGCCGAAGGCAGTCGCTTAACCAACTGAGCCACCCAGGCGCCCAAAGATACTTTGTTTTAGATGTTCAAATTTGCCTCTGAGTTTTCTAGTTTTCTTTTGACATCCTTTCTTTGGGTGTTAACCAGAGCTCCCTGAAATGTTCTCTTCTGCACAAGAAATGTACAGCTGGATATTTTGCAGGGCATGCGGTCTATAGCCACTTATTTTTGTTATAAATTATTCTATAATAAGAACGATGTAGGGGGCGTCAGGGTGGCACAGTCGGTTAAGCATCTGACTCTTGATTTGGGCTCGGGTCGTGCACTTGCGGTTATGAGATCGAGCCCCATGTCGGGCCACCCTGGTGGGCATTGAGCCTGCTTGGGATTCTCTTCTTCCCTCTGCCAGCAGGTTTGGGAAGTAGGAGGTGGCCTGGACAGCCTGTGGGCCCTGCCAGTGCACGCTCCCTGGTAGGGTCAGGATTCTGTTAGCTGGCCTGTTTGAATCCTGGGTTTTTGTTTTTTAATTCCTCATTTATTTTTCTTAAATGAGATCATGCTGAACAGTCCGGACTACTTCTGCTGGGCTAAATGAATTAAACAAAAAGTATTTTTCTATGCATGAGCCAGGGGGGATTTCATGGGCCAGAATGTGGTGAGACGGCAGTGACACCCTCTAGAACAATTCATGACAACAGCTTCTGGCCTGGCCATCCCCCCTCTCTCTTCCAGCATAAAGCTTGTACTTGGAGGCCCCTGGGTGGCTCAGTCGTTAAGCGTCTGCCTTCGGCTCAGGTCATGAGCCCAGGGTCCTGGGATCGAGCCCCACATCAGGCTTTCTGCTCAGCCGGAAGCCTGCTTCTTCCTCTCCCACTCCCCCTACTTGTGTTGTCTCTTTCTGTCAAATAAATAAATAAAATCTTTAAAAAAAAAAAAAAAAAGCTCGTACTTAATGTTTCTGAATTTAGAGTTAAGAAAAGAGGACAATTTTTATATCCAGGGATAATTTAAAGGCTGAGTCTTCTAAGAGGGTCAGGGTTGTGGGGAATGGTGAGAAAACTAGCCCTCTTCGAGTAGAGCATCTGGCTGAGATCTAGGAGTGGTAGAAAGGGACGCACTGGGTAGGATGGTTTCTGTCAGAACTGTGGACATATTCTGGGTCTGGATGGATCTTCCCTTGGGCCCCAACCTTGTTTCCATATCTATTAAGCAGAGTCACCTGGTACTAGCGCCTGTCCCTTTGTCTTAGGATGTTTTTTACTTCTGCCACACTGATGCTTACAAACGATGAGTTTCTGGCCCCTGGTTGTATCACGTCCATGGGCAGCATCCTGCCACATGTCTAGTTCACCTTTGGTCTGTGAACGTTGTTCCCTGGGAAATCTTTCTGCGGAGTGGCTGGGAGAGGCTGGATTCTTCTCACGGCTCTGCCAGGGGTACCCTGGGTGTCCTTGGAAAGCTCCCCCCCCCGACCCTTGGCTTCTGCCCCCTGCTGCATAAAACAAGAGGTTACCCTTAGATCCCTGCCAGGCCCACATCAGTGCCCACCATCCCAGTGAGGGGGCTGGCCCCTCCCCAGATCTCCCAGTGCTCTCTGGTTGATGTCAGACTGCCTGCCACGGGGCTGGAGCCTTGTCTAAATGGAAAGTTCCCTTTCCAGGGAGGACTCTGAGTCCATGCTCTGGACTGACAGTGTTCACACCTTTTGCCCCCCAACCCCTCTTCCCCCAGCCCCAGGACACTTTTGCCTGAGAGAAACACTGGCCTAAGGACAGTTTTCTATCAGGTTTGTGTGTTTTCTGCTTCTCCCAGGTCCCACAGTCCATTCTGAAGATGTGGAGGCTGCCCTCTGAGAGAATGAGGAGCGGGGAGTGTTGGGGGAGGCAGTCTCAGGAGGAGAGGCCCTGACAGCCATAGCAAATCCTGGACAGCAGGGGGCGCTGTGGGAGCGGCCTGATGGTCCCCATGGCAATCCTTTCCCTCCAGAAGTCATCTCAGGCCACCCCTGCCTAAATCAGACTCTCCCTCACCCACCCAGTCCAGCCCCCTGCCTGTTTCGTTTTTGTAATTCCACAGCGCACTTACATAAAATCTTTAAAAAATCTTTGGTGTGTGTTTGTCCATTGAATGAATAATGGAAAGAAACAGAAATCTCTCCCAGGCTCCTACCTTCTATGGGCAAAGGAGAGATGTCCTGACCCCAGCTGGTCAGCTGTGCTTCACTTGCCTTGTCAGGGGACTGAAGTCTCACTCTAAGGCCTGCTGCTTCCAGGTTGCCAGAGACCATGGAAGTGGGTGGTGTGGAGTCCTGAGCAGTGGTCTTGAATCATGGCTCTCATTATGTGCAGGTTCTGTTCTTTATCCGACCAAATCCCAGGGAGCTCCATCCAACTCCAAGGATATCCCTGAGAGGGAGACTCACAGGCGGGGCTGTCGGCAAGCCTCAGACCAGGACCGTGCACTGGAAGGAAGGTGGGAATGCCCTCCTGTGGCCTCTGATGGGAGGATAACCAAGAAACTGAGGTTCTGGAAGACCTGGGGACCTGGGCCAGCATATCATTCTCCTCTCCAGGTGGTTCTGGGGCTCCGTGTCAGGGTGAGGCCTGATGTGAAGAAGAAGGGGGTTATGGCCTGAGCTCTGTAGCCTGGTTCATGGGGGAAAGAAGCCAGACTGCTGAAAAAAGGATATATATTCCCGAGTAAGGAATGTGTGTAGGTCAGGTGTTAGGGCCACTGAGTTCCATGCCCTCGTATCTATCGTCGCTGTCACCTCCCAGAATCCTCGAACTCTCATTTGTACTATGACAATAACCTCTTGGTTGGTCTCCTTGCCTCCATTCTTTCTGCCCATGGTTTTGCCAGAATGAGCTTTTGAAAAAGCGTATTAAGTCATGTCAGCTTTTATTTTCAAAATCTTTCAAAATCTTTGTCAACCTATTACCTGCAAGATGAATCTTAAACTCCTTAGCCATAACCCCGCTCTCCTTCAGATTGTCATCAGGCTTTCTGATGGCAATGCTTTGTGCAAGAGAAAAATGGGGACACCTGGCTTGCTCAGTCCATGGAGCATGCGACTCTTGGTCTCAGGGTCATGGGTTTGAGCTCCACATTGGGTGTAGAGATTACCTAAATAAAATAAAATAAAATCTTTTTTAAAAAACAACAACAAAAAAATGGGAGTAACATATTTAAGATTCCAAGGAAAGAAAATGTGAACCAAAAATTTTAAATCACTGTTACCAATGTGCCCGTCCTGAGAAATCTGCTAGAGAGTGAGCTTCAGACAATCAGGATGACTAGAGAGATCTTACCAGAAGGAATGGTGGCAAGCATTAAAAATACAGTTACAGGGACGTCTGGGTGGCTCAGTCGGTTAAGCGTCTGCCTTCAGCTCAGGTCATGATCTCAAGGTCCTGGGATCGAGTCCCACATTGGGCTCCCTGCTCAGCGAGGAGCCTGCTTCTCCCTCTGCCTGCCACTCCCCCTGCTTGTGCTTTCTCTTTCCCTAATAAATACATAAAATCTTAAAAAAAAATACAGTTACACGTAGAACTAAAAGTAAATGAGCGTCTAAAAGGCAAGCACAGCATGAGCTGGTTATATATTCAGTTGATTGATGTATGGGGGTATGAGAATAAGCAGAGAGTGCAGGTAATTTAAAAACATATTCTGAATTAACATAAGAATAAAATTTAAAAAAATAAAAATAAAAACATATTCTGAGTATTGGAGGTAGTGGTATTAATATTGTTATTTTCAGACTATTATTGTATAATGTCAGATAATGTAAATGATGGGCCTGTTTGATCATCCTGTGTTTTTAAGAATCAGGAATCATTTTTTTCCCCTCAGGACAACAACTTGCTGGGATTTTTATTGGGATAACATTGAATCTATAGATCAATTTGGAGATAATAGACAGCTTTACAATATTGAGTCCCTCTAGTCATGAACATGATCTATCCCTTCATTTATTAATAATTTTGAATTAGTAATAAAGTATTAACAATGTTTTGTAGCTGCTGTGTAGAAAATTTTCCTTAACCTTATTCCTACAATTTGGGCTTTTTGATGCTATTTTAAAAGCTACTTCTGGATCTCATTTTCTAATTGTTCCCTCCTTGTGTATATAGAAATACAATTGATTTTTCCAAATTGAACCTATATCCCATGACCTTGCTCAAATTACCTAATGATCTGATGGCAAGTTCTTTGGGATTTTCTACATCTACAATTATGTTGTGATCATGTTGTGTGGGGGTGATGACAGTTCCATTTCTTCCTTTCCAATTCATACATTTTTTTCTTGCCTTTTTTGCAGTGGCTAGGGCCTCGAGTGCAATATGGACAGACATGGTGAAATCAGGTATTCTTGATCTCAGGTGGAAAACTTTCATTAATTCACCATCAGTATCATCTTTAATGTAGGTCTTTTAAAAAAGATACTCTAGATTCACAAAGCGCTTTTCTATTCCTAGTTTGCTAAAGTTTTTATCATGAATGGGTATGAAACTTAATCAAATGCTTTTCTGCATCTATTAAGATAGTCATATTACCTTATTTATTCTGTTAATGTGTTAATTCTGTTAATAGGTAATAATTTATTCTATTAACATAATCAATTATATTCACTAATTGATTTTTTGATTCTTCCAGCTTTACTGGGGTATAATTGACAAAGAGAAATTGTAAATATTTAAGGTGTATAATATGATGTTTTGATATACATATGCCTTGTGAACTGATCACCACCATCATGTTGATTATCATTACCTCATGTAGTTACAATTTTTTTTATAAAGATTTTATTTATTTATTTGACAGAGAGAGATAGCAAGAGCAGGAACACAAGCAGGGTGAGCGGGAGAGGGAGAAGCAGGCTTCCCGCGGAGCAGGGAGCCCAATGTGGGGCTTGATCCCAAGACCCTGGGATCATGACCTGAGCCGAAGGCAGACGCTTAATGACTGAGCCACCCAGGCACCCCTACAATTTTTTTTTAATGGTGAGGACATTTAAGATTTTTCCTCCTAGCAAATTTCAAGTATACCATCCAGTATTGGTAACTACAGTCACTATACTGCAATTAGATCTCTGGAACTTATTCAACTTGCATAACAGAAACTTTATACACTTTGACCAGCATCTCCTGGCAACCCCCATTCTACTCTGGGCTTCTATGAATTTGGCTATTTTAGATTTCATATACAAGTGAGATCATGGGTCATTCGTATTTCTGTGTCTGGCTTATTGGTCACGTTTGGAAGATGATGGGAAATTAATCCATTATCTTTAACTGATAAATAAAGGGAAGTAATTGAGCACTTATTCTGTCTGTATGGACTGTAGCAACTGGGTAACCATATGGTAGATGAAGGAAGTGTCTCTTAATAAATGCATTCCAACTAATAAATGAAAAAATGTTAGAATATCACCACTTTGCGACTCTCAGTTAATTAATGGATTTAGACACTGGACATCAGTAACTTTTAACATCATGTATTAAAAAGAGAATCAGATATTATTACCTGCCTCTTGGTGAAAGGATACAGCACTGCATAGACAGTCTTATCAAAAGGATCAAACATCAGTCTGACCCAGGCTCTGGATTCAGCTGTCAGTTTGCTGAAAATACAGAATCAACAAAAATCTGGGCTGTCAGAAACCATGCAGGTCAACTGTCTATCTACAGGTCAAAGGTTATCTTCAATAGATACACTGAAAGGAAAAGAAAGGGACAAAGGGGGAAACCTTTGGATTAAAAGGGGCTTAAAAAAAAACATTATAAAATGTAAAAAAAAGGAATTTTAAACTATGGTGGACAGGGATGCACAGTTGGGCAATAAAACCATAAACAAACACAAGGAAAATGTTATAAACATTAAGATGGTGGTTACTTTTGGGGGGAGGAAGCCAGGTGTGATAGGGACGGAACACTTGGACAGGCTTCTATGGTGGTTGGCAACATTCTATGATATGGGTGGCGGGCCATATGGGTTTTTGCCTTAAATAATTCAGTAAACTACGCATTTTGGGGGGTGGTCTTCTGTATCTGTATTTTGTTTTACAATACAAAGTTGTAAATAAGCCTAGTCCTTTTCTAGAAAGTTCTCCTTTCCATACTGCAGTCCCCATGCACCCTTTGATATCTCCATTCTGAGCACTAGTCAGTGGCCCTTCTGACAGATCAGTGCTCTTTCGCCCACCAGAACTTGGCATGGCTGCTCCTTTTGCTTAGAATACACCTCCCGGATCACTGAGCTAATAAATTGCCAAGTTGGCACTGCACCCTGGTTGGCTGATTCTTAGTCCTGGCTCTTTCCACGATTATACACTGCTTTCCTTTCATAATCCAAGTTGATTCAGAAATCTGCCATGTTCTAGCTAGTACCACTTCTTAGGTGATAACCCTTCTGGGCTTGCCCAGTGAGGGGGACTAAGGGTCTTTCATTAATGCTTAATTCTTGGAGGCCCCCATCTTCTTTTAGGGCCCCTGGCTTTGGAACTTAAGACTGTGTTCCTTCTACTGATTTCCTTACGAGATTATGGTGTTGGGCACTGCCCTCCTTCTTCTTGGCAACCTGGGAAATTCTAATCTTCTTAGTTTTAACTTCAGGCAAGGATATACCATATGCAATTTGGCTTCCTTTTTGGTGTTTTAACCACTCACATTGCAGGTGAGAAGGCTGATGAATCCAAGAGAAGGGGAATATTTGGCTTTAAGTTCTTGCATTAGAGAGGCAGCCAATGTAGTGAAAGATGAAGAACCAGCACCAGGCTCAGGTGCAAGGTCATGTTTCTTTCTGTTGACCTCATGCTCTGACCTCTGTTCCCCAGATTCAGCACCAGGCCAGAATTTCTGTGTTACAGGGATTTTCTGCTCACAGCCACATGTTAGGCTGGAAACAGCATGCCCAGCATCCCACCCTGGGCCTTTTGTAGTCAATTCGCTTTTGGAGACCTCTGGTACCCTTTTCTGTCAATAGACCCCACCCACTGAGATAACTTCAGTCAGTGAGGGGGAGTGTGTTACTATTTAATCTCAGGAGGGTAAAGGTCAGTGTCTTGATCCCCCTCTTCTTGGCAGTTTCGTTGGACTCTGCATATTTATCTACTTTCACCCCAGGGATCTGCTCTAGCTAGTGGAGATCTTAAATAAACTAGCTTTGTCTAGCCCACATAGAAAAGGTCTGATGATACTGTTTCCCTGGGAGAGTGGGTACCTACCCACCTTGCAACTATACAATTAAAATAACAATTTACTGGTTCCTAACATAATAATGAAAATCTGCTTAGAGATGACCCTCTTCCCTTTAGACATATAAGAGGCTGGTGAATCTTTTTTTCTTTTTTAGAGAGAGAGTGTGTGCATGCACCAGGGGGGAGGGGTGAAGGGAGAGGGAGAGAGAGAATCTTAAGCAGACTCCACGCCCAGTGTGGAGCCCAACTCAGGGTTCGATCTCACGATTCCGAGATCATGACCTGAGCCTAAATCAACAGTAGGATGCTTAACTGACGGAGCCACCCAAGTGCCCCGAGGCTGGTGAAATCTTTCTTTTTCTTTTAATGTGTTTATTTTTATTTAAATTCAATTAACATATAATGTATTATTGGTTTCAGAGGTAGAGGTCAGTGACTCATCAGTCTTATATAATACCCAGTGCTCATTACATTGCATTCCCTCCTTAATGTCCATCACCCAGTTACCCTATCCCCCCACTCCTTCCCCTTCAGCAACCCTCAGTTTGTTTTCTTTTTTTTTTTTTTTTTTTTTTTTTTTTTCATTATTTTTTTTTTTTTTTTTTTTTTTAATTTTTTTATTCTTATGTTAATCCCCTTACATTACAACATTAGTTTTAGATGAAGTGTTCCATGATTCATTGTTTGTGCATAACACCCAGTGCTCCATGCAGAATGTGCCCTCCTAAAT